ATATATTAGTAACATTTTATTCACACAACAATCAACATTCAGTTCAGATATCATGTTAAAGTGGAAACATTTGTCAGATGAGTCATAAATTTAAATTCTACCAAACACAGTAAAAATATACTTTTATAAATACACTTTTTATATCTAATAAGGCAACAGTTAGCTTGATGTTTGAAACAACAATTGTAGATAGAAATAGGAAATATTCTCGATTCTCACTGAGATCACCACAATATTCAAGTCTGACACTTCGCAACTTTGGCATTAAAATAAACATCCGACACAATATGGAAATTTCTAACCTGCTTTTTGAATGGTCTTGTTTCAAACTAAAACCTCATAGCAATAACCATTTAATTGTATATGTGAAACGTAAGGCTCAAAACCTGGACAAGGATCAATAAACAACAAGAACAACCTTCAAAGAGTTGCTTGTTGACGCATTTGAAAATAATTAAATAAATCTTTAACAGTTAATAACTGCAGTATTTGTTAATGGCTCATTGATTTAAAGGTAATCTTTGTTATCCATTTTGTTTTTAAAGGCAGATTTGACTGTTTTGCATTGGGCTTCGACATCAGCAGAGATATTCAGAGCGGGAACCGTCACTCTTATAGGTCATCTGGGAGTCGATGCTTGAGCGAGAACACAGCAACAGACGCTCTGATTCATTAGTCGGTCTTCTTGCCCAAAGCTCAGTGGGATGGGGGTTCAAAGTCCTTTGTTTCATTGAAATTGTCTCAAACTTTACRTAGCTCTCCTTTTCTAGCTCGTCTTGAGTCAAAGCAGTGCTGCGTCCCTTGCAGTAGAGAGCAAGAATTTTGTAGATCAGGAGAACAATAAGAGGCAGAGCCAAAGCACAGGCAATGCCACTTAAGATGAAGAAAAGCTGGTTCTGCTCACCGTCTTCTGTGTAGAAGTCGATGCAAGGGTCTTTTCYAGCAGGATTCCCTTTTGCTACCAGGCAAACCGAGTACCTCATTCCAGGTGACAGCCCATCGAGGAGTATTTTTCCACTCCCGGCCCTGGTTTCCATCGTCCTTTTAGTCTCATCATCACCATACGGTGAATATACAACTGTGAGTGGAGCATCATTAAGCAATCCACCTGCAGTCCAGAGCAACACTGCACTGTCAGCTGTTTCTTCCATTATCCGTAGGTCTTTAATTGGTCGCGATGCATCGTTTTTCTTGCTTTTTTCGTCAGCGGCAAGTTTTTTCCCGTTACCTCCTTGCTGGGTTTTTATTTGCCTGAGCGAGCTCTTCTGCAAATCGCTACCAGAGATTGAGCTGAGCTGCTTTTGGACATCAGAAAGGGTTGTGGATAGTCTTGGGAAGGATGTAGTCATCGCGAAGGGTGAGTTAGAACTGCCTCTGGGGGGAGTGAGAGTCATGAATTGGCCGGTCGGTCCAGTCCCACCGCCAGGTCGCGTTGGAGGGGTGGTGGTGCTGGTGGTTCCTGCAACTGATAGGGAAATGGTTGCTTCTGCAGTACCAGCAACATTCTTTGCTTTGCAGCTGTAGTTCCCAGCATCTTTGTACTCTATTCCATGCAAGCTCATGATGGACCACTTTATGCCTTCCCCTGGGGATTCCTGAACTAGATAGTGGGGAAAAATTCAATATAAATCAGCACTTGTTGACATTATTGCAATAGGAATATTCAAACATTTGTTGATTTTTGAAAACACACAACCTATATTACTCATAAATAGTAAAACCATGCAATCTACCTGCATTGTTGACTGGTGAGCCATCTGACTTCATCCAGTAAAGAGTTGGGGTTGGTGATCCTGTGGCATCACATCGTAAGAGGACGTTACTACCCAAAGGGGACGTTAACTTTGTTGCAGATGTCATCACTGAGGGTTTCACGCAATTCTCAAGCTCAGCACGCTGAAAAAGGACACCTGCCAAATTTTCTGGAGCGGCACAGGTCAGGAACAGGTCCATCAGAACCACCGGCGTGTCAGCCATTTTGGACATCTCAATCAGCTTGGAGATTTTACAGTCGCAGAACCAGGGGTTGTCCTGAAGGCCTGAGAACAAAAAGATTCAGTAATTATTTGTTGTCCTTTTATTTGTATTGACTAGTATATTACTTTTTTGCAGAGTTATTGAAAAGACAGCATGTCCTATGTTGACATTTTAGCAGTGAGGTCCCATAAAAGTAGAAATGGGTCAAATCCAMACTAAGTTTTGGCAGAAGTGCTTTTTTTGAAGAGATCGGCAGTATTCTTTGTGCTTTAAAAAAAGTTGAGCTCCAGCAGACCCATAGAGGTCCATATCATTAGGCAGTGGTGGGCACCAGTCCGCCAAAGCGCAAATCCGCTAATTGTGGACCTAAATATTTTGTTCGCGCCTCATCGGTCTTACTAATTTTTATAATTCATAAGCGGATTTGCACATTCAAAAATTAAAATGCAGCCCATCATGTACCCAGAATGCATTGCTTCAGTTTTCCAATAAACAGTTTTAAAATTACTTTATTGATGCTTCTTTAATGAAAAATCTACAACAAGCAAAAGAAAAAGACAAAGAAGCAGCCAAACTAGCAATCCTCAACAACATTTTAAAGAAGCAGCCGAACTAGCAATCCTCAACAACTTTTTAAAGAATCAGCCGAACTAGCAATCCTCAACAACTTTTTAATTTTTACACCAGGAGCCAAAGTTCTGTTTCAGGAACTCACATCCCCAGCAATCGGCGCTTGTAGGATTAAGCTGTAAAAGGGTTCATACACTGCTAGTTGGCAGTGTTGTACATATATTGTACATGAATCGTTGCCAGCTACTAAGTATCAAATTGAACATGTGCTTTAAAATTAGCTTCTGCTAGTTTTTCAATGGCATAAGTGTTTTTGAAGTTGCAGACCTAAATATTGTCACAAACGCTTTAGAAATTGCAGAGCTAATTTTTGGATTAACGCTGCCCACCACTGTCATTATGGAACAGATAACCACAGTTGAGTTTTATGCATATTTTGAATTATTTGCGTTGAGAATATTTTACTCATTTCATTCTGAAGAACAATATGAAAATTAATTTATAGCAATAATCTGCCAATTCTAGTTTATCGTAAACACCTGATGAACTCAAACCCATGTACTGGTGCACGCTAAGCTCTTGAGCCTCAGCCTGATCAATTTGTCTTAACCGGAGGAAAGCACCTATAAGCTGCCTCCAGTCTTTCTTACRGTTTGTGGGAACAGAGTTCCCTTTAGCTTTACTGTAAGTGTAAACATCATCATACTTTATCATGAACAATGTGATCAAGGTCACAAGTTTTAAATATCCTTTTAATCATTTTAAGTGTGTGAAAATGTGTAAAYGCAAATAACCCCAAAAGTGTCCTGAGTTGTCCCTAATATCCTTTAAAACCAATCTGGACAGAACATTTTTGTCTTACCTAACACGACTTTTTGAGAAGCATTAGAAGAGACAGGTACGCCATTAAAAGGTGGCCAGATATCCATAAGATCAGAGGACAGGGTTGTCAGTTTGTTGCTGGATAAATCCAAGTACGTGATGTTTAAGAGGTAGGGGGTTGCCTCAGTGGGGACATTAGTTATTCTGTTGTTGTGAAGATCCAAAGTCCTCAGCCTGGGCATCTCTTTGAGRGACTCCCAGGGGAAAACAGAGATCATGTTTCCGTCTAACCTCAGCTCATGGAGCACCTTCAAGTTGTAAAAACTTCCTGTATCGACCGAGGTTATGGAGTTGTAGGTAATCCAGAGGTACCGTAGCTCCACCAGGTAGTAAAAAGCTTCTGTTGGGATTCGCCGTACTGCGGTTTTCTCAACACGGAGTTTGATCGTATCCACTGGAACATTAATGGGGATGTCGGACATGTCTGGGTCATTGCAGAGGACAGATCTGTAAGTCAGAGATGAATAAATTGAAGCTAATGYAAACGAAAACTTTTACAATGTATTCAGTTTTGTTGAGTGCCTTTGAAGCACTTTGACTGTCTGGTGCAGAGACCTTTTTCTACATAATGGCAAACTTATCTGTCTGGACAATTTAAGTACATGTTACCTGGTTCCCGTTCCATCTGTACGTCCATGGAAGACACAAGTACACTGGGATGGACAGAACGCTAGAGCCATACTGAAGCAGCACAGAAATACATGCAGACAGAGAATTCGACACATGGCATCACCCGATACGCCCAAAAGTACCATATTCAGGAGATATAATGAAAAAATGCATCTGCATTCGATAAAAGACAGAAGATTTCTTCCCAGAAAACACATGAAACGTGAAAAGGAGGGGAAAAAATTGTCAAAGTCCATAGAAGTCAGTGGTACACAGGCTGAGGATCTAATCCCAGTACAGGTGACCTGTCGGATTGGCCGTGGGGTGGAGGATTAGTGAAGGATTTCCCGGGTGTGACAGTGTCACTAAAGCTCAACAGCAGGCAACTCCGCTCTTTCTAAGATTGGTACTTCTCTTTTTYGCCTTGTCACCACAGCAGCTCATCCATTTCCATCTTGTGTTTTCAACATGCCTTTAATTAGTTTGTTCTGGAGGGATTTAACTTCACGTGAGCCAGCCTTACTTTTGGCTCGCCCTTCAGTTATCAACCTCCACAAAAATACAGTCTGTAGTTTTATGAATCTACTGCATGCTAACTCGCACACTTTTTTAAGATGATGCATTGTCAGTTATGTCTTCATTTTTTGTTTTTCTCTAGAGTATTACTTAATCTTGCTCATTTGAAAAAAATCTTCCAATTTTTTATTTATTTTCTAAACATTTAACATAGTAATTGCGGATTTGAACTGAAAGTTGTCTTTTAAAAGTCTGATTCTTTTCTGTTTGTGCTCTGTTCTGCATNGTGCTCTGTTCTGCATTAAAATGTGCTTCTTTTATTTTATCCAAATTTGTATTTATATCTTTTTTCTCTAAAATCAATTTTTTTTACACAAGCCCACTTTTTAAAGTTTTTTTTWATTTTTCCTTTGAAAGACTGAGGGGAAAACAAAGATACGTAATGGTGTCAAGCAGTTTCTGACGGCATGTGCTTTCTACTGATCTGTAACAAAAACTAAATCAAAAAATAAAACTAAATAGTCCATCTTTCTTAGTACAACCTTATTATTCCTGTTGATACGTTGCCTACATGAATACATCACAACAAATGTACTCACTAAAACAAAATGCACACGAGACCAGCAGCATTTATTAACAAGTACACAAGTGAATTTTATTTATGCAAGCAAATTTGATCATACGGGTCAAATAAGCCACTTCAAGCTGTTGGCACATGAATGTACAAAACAGATTTAATTTAAAGCCTGCCATTAAGCATCCATAGTGAAAGTACAAAAGACTAACACAGGGAAAAAAGCTGAAAACTTCTTTTTTCTTTTTCTTTTTGATCATTACAGAGTAAGTCATAATGGTACAAGTATCAGCTTCAAGACATGGTTGAAAGCTCATCACAAACTAAATAGACACAACTCAAGGACTACAGTCTCTAATATTAGTAGCATAACGCAGAAAGCGTGGGAGGTTTAGTACTGCACATATAAACAAAGGTTTGATCCAGCAAGACAGTCAAAATCGCAAAATAAAAAAGTGTAATAAAGTAACTTTTGAGTCAATAAGACTATACTGATGAATGTCCATGCCACAAAAAACATCTAAATTCACAGTCTTTACTAACAGTACAGTTATCCAACTTTCAGTTGAACACCAATGAGCTTACATCTAGAGAGCACAGAAAGGTCAAATGAGTGCATGAAAGTAGGCTTGAGAAATATTGAAGAAAAAAATGAAATCAAATCACCAGGCAATGCAGTGATGGGCCACCTCTGTAGCCTTATGGCATCAAGATGTGTAGGCAATAAAGTTACGGTCATTAACAAAAACTATAAAAAAAAAAAGAAAAATGGTCTGCAACACACACTTTTACCATATCTCGTAATTCCACCAAAGAGTGCCAATACATTTTTTTCTTCTTATTTTTAATTTTTACATCAGGCTGTTTTTTCATTTAGGACTAACAGATGCATTTTAGACCCATTCCTCAAAAATCAGTGCAAAACATGAAGGAATGCTTTGATATATCAGCATGTACAGTGCAGAATCCTGTCTAAATAGGACCTTATTTATAAAATTCAACTTTTAGGAAAGTACATTTGGATTATGCAAATGTGCTTTTGTGGCATTGCTTTTAAACACAGTGGAATTGTTCAGATTTCTGATATACTACTTTTTATGGTAAGATTATCATCTTTTTCCAGTGGCTTTATGCTGTTACAAAAATTTATCACAATTCAATATTTCCTGTTTTAACAGGCTTGGCACATCAGCAAACTTTTGTTTTCCACTTTGAATTTATCRTTTTGGTGTCTTATGTAGCTTCAAATAGAAAATTAGAATGAATTCATATGCAAAGGTGATTTTAATCCCTGGGAAAACTGGTAAACAATTACAATTCATCATAAGTTGTGAGATTTAAAATATTTTCAAAAACTAACCACTCACTCACATACAGTACGTAGTTCTTGAGCATGAAATCTCTTGACACACTACATGATAAATGTGCTTAAAAACCCATTAAAAGCCCCTTTTTGCCCCCTCAAAAATCAGCAAAATGAAGAAATTATGTAAAAAATAATAAATTATGACAAAAAWT